CTCCTTTTTCTCCTCCTCCTTCTTTTTCTCTTCCTCCTCTTCCTTTTTCTCCTCCTCCTCTAAATAGACTGAATCATTTCATAAAAAGAACAGGGACCCAGCAAGGACAAAGATGTAGAGAAAGAGAAGGAGAAGGAGAAGGAGAAGGAGAAGGAGAAGGAGAAGGAGAAGGAGAAGGAGAAGGAGAAGGAGAAGGAGAAGGAGAAGGAGAAGAAGGAGAAGGAGAAGGAGAAGGAGAAGGAGAAGGAGAAGGAGAAGGAGAAGGAGAAGGAGAAGGAGAAGGAGAAGGAGAAGGAGAAGGAGAAGGAGAAGGAGAAGAAGGAGAAGGAGAAGGAGAAGGAGAAGGAGAAGGAGAAGGAGAAGGAGAAGGAGAAGGAGAAGGAGAAGGAGAAGGAGAAGGAGAAGAAGGAGAAGGAGAAGGAGAAGGAGAAGAAGGAGAAGGAGAAGGAGAAGAAGGAGGAGAAGGAGAAGGAGAAGGAGAAGGAGAAGGAGAAGGAGAAGGAGAAAAAGGAGGAGAAGGAGAAGGAGAAGGAGAAGAAGGAGAAGGAGAAGAAGAAGGAGAAGGAGAAGGAGAAGGAGAAGGAGAAGAAGGAGAAGGAGAAGGAGGAGAAGGAGAAGAAGGAGAAGGAGAAGGAAATGAGAAGGGGGGAAAAGCAGCAGAGGAGGAGAAGAAGAAGGAGGAGGAGGAGGAGGAGGAGGAGGAGGAGGAGGAGGAGGAGGAGGAGGAGGAGGAGGAGGAGGAGGAGGAGGAGGAGGAGGAAGAAGAGGAGGAGGAGGAGGAGGAGGAGGAGGAGGAGGAGGAGGAGGAGGAGGAGGAGGAGGAGGAGGAGGAGGAAGAGGAGGAGGAGGAGGAGGAAGAGGAGGAGGAAGAGGAAGAGGAAGAGGAAGAGGAAGAGGAAGAGGAAGAGAAGGAGGAGGAGGAGGAGGAGAAGTCATTTATATATATAAGTATATATATAAAATATATATATACATTATATATATATATCTGACTAATGTTAGAACAAAAAAAGGCTTCCCAATCCTCTACATACTAGATTATGGATATACCTAAAACTATTAATAAATAAAAGATACTTCATAATTAAGTTTGGGCATTTCATTGTCATTTAGTCAAAAATGTGCTATCATATTTGACAACGTTTAAAACAGTTCAGGAGAAGGAAATATTGGATTCAATAATAAAATTGTGAAAGACCAACCTGCTGTGGAGGTAAAACACCAGAAACAGCTTCATGTAACTTTGAGACTGCTTTTAGAATACCATTGAAAGCTGGGGAAGGCACAGGAGACCGTGCCTCCCACGTTGCAAATTGGCGCTCGAGAGTGTCGCTCATCACACCCACAATTTTGGCTTCTATCGCTTCACAATGTTCTCGGTATTCACGAGTAACCTGCCATCGTCAAAACGAAAGCTCAACATTAATAAATGTGAATCTTCACTAACAGTCTTATTATCTAAATGGCAAAATTAGTTAGACTTCTGATCAATTTTTCAAATTATCATTACTTTAAAAAGCACTTATTAACAAAAATGGTCTCATCCAAGTGGAAATGTAAAAATAAAAATACCTAAACAGAATCACAATAATATAAGCAATGTCATTCATAATGAATTAGCAAAAAGAAGCTGAAGCAAAAATTGTATTAGAAAGTTTTTTTTTATTATAATAAGTACCTCATTGTGTGTTAATGTTGACTTAACAATGTACATAAAAATTCTCTTACAGCAATTATCAATTATCAAGAGTTAAAATTTTTCTTCTTGTTTTTTCATGTCATTCTTTCATGACTTTCCAATAAGTGAGCTCTACCAAAATACTCATTATATGAGATATATTTTCACAGACAAGCAGGTTTGAAAAGACAATCTTGAATTCAACCACATGCTGCTGAGGAAAATAAATAAAAATTGGGGAAAATGCTGTGCTCATTCTTTTTTTGTGTGTGTGTGTGAAATGTCTCTGCACATAGATGGCTCTGCTAGAGCTTAGCCACAAAGGAGTCAATTTGTAGAACTTGTGGCCTTACCTAATTTTACCATTCCATGAATTGGTGGGAAAAATATATATCTTAATTAATGCTTTCAATATCAATGGTATTATTTTTATTATAGAAATTGTAATTACTATAATGTTATAAACATTAGTAACAGCAAAATAAGATAACATAAAATATTTTTGTAAATCAAGGAAAAGGGTGAATGGGTTAGACAGGCAGTACTCGTAATTAGCTCACTGGTGACTTAGTACAAGTGTAGCCATCTAAGTGTTAAAACAATGAAAGTAAACTCACACTGGGCATGGCATGTATGTACATGCCATGCCCATCGGCAATGGGTTAATGCAACCTCTTAACATAAATCCATAGTCTTACTACTGATATCTAGTGCTAGTAAAGACCTTTCTCCAATGCCTAGTTTCCCATAATGTTTACACACCAAACAAAATCCACAGTTCAACTAGAAAAGAAAATGAAAATCCCAAAAAACATTGAGGGAAAAAAAAGGACCTTATGTATTTACAATAAATTGGCTTTGCTTGAAAATTATTTTTGACCAGTCTATGGTTATCTGCTGCATAGTCACGCTTGGAATTGCTTATTTGCTTTTTTAATTTCATTAAACTTCTGTCTGACAGAATTGGACACTGAGCATCAAAGGGATATTTGGGCTCTTTCAGTCCTATGCAAGATTGTCATTGATGGTTCACATCACCTCCATATGTTTTTACCTGATTTTTATCAACAACAAAAAGAGGTACTAGATCTGCAGCCCTCGATTCTATGATATTTGATGCAAGTCAATCATCTACATCTCAGATTTCTAGATGCTTTTTAATGCTATTTGTAAGCATTGGAATTGCCTTTACTTCTGAAACGTTTAAGAGTTTAGCTTATCTGTTTTTACTAAGAAAATAGCTGATGATTTTCTGTCTTCCCTTCATTTCTTAGCTGTGCCTTGACATGCACTGACACCTTTGGTGGTATAATTCTCAATTTTTTCAGTGTGGCTCATTATATGGCTTACCATAATAATATATTATCCTCAACTGAAAGTTTATATATTTGTTAATTATTTTTGCTGGAATAAGATACTGAGGAATAAGATACTGAGCATGGAAATGGTGTCCTCCTGGGACACTACATTCCTTACTCATTTATCAATGGAAATAATGTGAAAGCCCCTTTCTAAATGCCAAATGAGTCTAATCAGCCTCCAAGAAGTTTGTGCACTCGCGGCAACTCTCTCCTGTCACCCCAGCCTTTAGCCAAAACACTCACAATGGCAAGTTTGCATGATGCCAGCTCACAGCAAGATTTCCCTCTGGTGGCATGTCAGTCACCTGCCCCTCAAGTCAATTTGTTTCATGATGTTATGGTCACATCCTCTAGATTGTAGGGGTTAACTTTGACAAAGTCAATTTATCATTGAATATCTGATTTACTTACTTGCTCTATATTCTTCGTAACAACAGCTGGTCTTAACAAGACAGAGAAGTGTGTGTTGAGACGAGGAAGCAGAGTCAGCAACAGTTGCAAAGATCGCCATGCCAAAGCCAGGTTTCGAGTTGTTATAGTTTTGAGTCCTAGGGCAACTGCACCAGCTTCAACCAAAAGCCTAGAAAAGAATAAAATATTAACCATAAGTTAACATTTTGAGAATTATTATTCTCACTACCATATGAAAAAACTATATGACTTGCATAAAAGCAGTTTTATTTATCTCATTATATCAAAGAAAGTCTAAATGCTTCATAACTCACCTACAAGTGTCAGAGTTGAATCTTCTTAACAAATCAGTCAGACGTGTCAGAAGTTGATGCGCTGCAAGCCTCAATGTGGATGCACACTCGGAGTACTCCACAATTAGCCTTACTACAACTACACACACACCAACCACAATGTACTCCTCTCCATTGACAACCACACCACCACCTGAGCTACTACTACTGCCATTGATAACACTACCATTGCCACTACCAGTGCTACCACTTGCACTGTGGTTCTGTTCGACCACACCATTACTGAGAGTGGCTGTGGTTGTGCTGGCTGTGGTATTGGCTAAGGTGGTAGAGGTTGGTGTTGTGGAGGAAGTTTCTATACTTTCCTTTTCTTGCTGACTAGCAGGGGGTGATACTAGAGTGTCTGATGGGAATAATGAAAAATACAACTGTGAATATTGTAACAGTGAACATTCCAAACACTGTCTTTATCCGATCTACCATTGCTTTTCAGAATATAATTGAAATTAATGTTATTCAAATAATTGCATTTCATATGGATCCAATTGCTGTCTTCTGTTCACACTCATTTACCTTTTTTTTCCTCTTCAGAGACATAAAAAAAAATTTAAACTATTCCTAACTACATAAGAAAACTTTAAACTATTCCTATGTATCTACTTCCCACATTATCATGGTATTCTCCACCTACATCCTGCCATTAATACACCCCCTAATTTCCATCTACCCTACCTGTAGCTGATATATGGTCCAAAAGGTGCTGAAGATCTGGTGGTGCTGGGACTGCCCTCCATCGCTCACTACTTAGATTCAGCTTCAGCCTTGCTTCCCGTTCTTCGTGAAATCTCGATACAAATCTAGTTGCCTGAAAATAGTTTTATATCCAATGTTTATATAGCTACTTGTGCATTCATAATATATTAACTAAACAGATACTAACTTGAAAAAATATTTCATTCTTAGAAATAAAATCTGAAGAGGATACTCAAAATAAGTAGATTCATTGCAGATCCTTATACTGCTGACAAAAAAGTTAATCTTATAAGTAACACGACCTTTTCCTAAAGAGATTTTATCAGAACACAGGGAAAAATAGAAAAGTATTAACAAAGCTTCTGTTTTCTTCCATTAAAATGAAAAGCAAAATATCACTAGTACAACTACAGGGTAATAAGGAGTTAGGATTTTAATAAAATACACAATATCCTACCTGTCCTTGTAGACCCATTCGGAATGATGTACTTTTTCTACCACAAA